TCTCTTGCCAGGCAGGCACTTGGTTAACACATGTTGGTGTCATATCTTCCCCAAGGTCGTGTTTGGTTGCCAAAACCTAGATTCTGTCAGCCATTCATCACTGTTGGGACGGTGTTCCCTGTTATACTGGCCAGGGAGATTCACAGGGATCTTGGACACTTGCAGTTTTCCTCAGTTCTGTGTGGGTTGTGCTGTTTGGGGCAGGAGCAGATATCCCGGTTGACCCTCAGTGACCTGGGTAGCTCTCCTGGAATCTGCTCAGGTTTTCTGTCTCCTGTGCTGTCACCTCTCTTGGTTGTTTTCTCCAGGGGGCCCAGCAGCTCCAAGTACATACCCGTGACTTCTCCTGGAAGCAGCTGCCTGGTTTCCTAAAAAATAAATATAAATAAATAAATTAGAAGTCAGCTCCTCCCAGGCCCAGGAGCAGTATCCCACACCCACAGGTTTCTCTTGGTCCAGCTCTGGGTCAGTGGGCTGGAACTGGGGCCAGTATCATGTGTGTACCAGGGCGCAGGGGGAGGGGGGCGGGAAGGGAGTGATCAAGGAACCTGAAATAGTTAATGCAAGGGAGGCAGAAGACCAGCCAGAGAAGATTCTAGAAGTGACAGTAAGCCCAGGTGTCATTCCCTTTGAGAGAGGCGATGTGTTTGGTAAAGAAGACTCAGGCATGCGGTTGGTTGGTCAATACTTTAATAACAGGTCTAAACATTTGGCTCACCTAATGGGCCTGTGCACGTGTGCGGAAGTGTCTGCCCCGGACAGATGCCTGAGCACTCTCTGAAGTACCCTCCCGAAGGGAGCCTGCCTGCCCGCCAAGCACTTCAGCACTCAGCCGTCAGGACCTCCCCCACTGCAGGTACCAGCCCAGCGCTGCCCTTTCCCACAGGTGGGGACTTGAAGAGACACTGATGGGTGTGCCGAGCCAGGGCAAGGGTTGGAAGGCATGCTCGATCCAGCTGTCTGAGCGGTCTCTACTCTGGGTAGAATTCACAGCAGAATTGTTCCCCTGGGTTTGAGAGTAGGAGGAGAAGCCCATCTGTTTTGGGGTCCTCTGTGGGTCAGCCTTAGCTGCTGGGAGCAAGTTGAAAAACAAAAATTGAAGGCCGGGCAGGGCTGTCTTTCATTCTCTAAATCTTCTCCCCCTCCCCTTGTGATCTTTTCTTCTTATGTCATTGCCCAGTTGCTGTATTGTTCCTGCCAGAGTCAGATTCTGAGCCACATTGTGGACTACCAGTCATTTTTGCCATAGTGTAAATAAGTTTAGACGAGTCAGTGGTTGTCTTTGTGTCTTAATTTGGGACTAAACTGTGCTCTCTATTCTTAAAGACATTTTGAACATCTGGGAAGGGAAGGAGAATTTTGGAGGTGGGGGGGAGGGGCGGGCATTAGTCACTAAAATAATACCTTGGCCATGACTGGAAATACAGGTAATAGTTCCAGGTGTTTTCTTTGCACTTAGTGTGTTTTTCTTTTTATCAGAAGCTTGGATATTTTCATGTTGGCAGAAGAGAATCTAGGATTAGGTAAAATCTTATAAAACCCTTCCCACCTCTTCCCCCCGCCCCCCCCCCCCCCCCCCCATTTGAAAGGATCTGTCAGGGAAGTGATTAGGTTTCTGTTTGCTTGTTTTTTGTTTGTTTGGTTGATTGGATTTTGGGATCACACCCAGTGCTCAGGACCTACTCCCAGATCTGTGCTCAAGAGTCCATATGCAGTGCTGGGGATCAAACCAGGGCCAGCCACATGAGTGATGGGAGAATCTCACATGTCCTTACTAAGTTCCCTGATTTCATGGAGGTGTTTTTCACTTGAGTACCTTGCAGGGTGTGGGAGCCGGGAGGCCTCCCTCTCCACCCCCAACACACACACACACACACACACACACACACACACACACACACCTGCTCTGTCTCTGTATTGTTTGGACACGTGCCTTTCTGAGTCCCTGGTGAGTTAGGCCAGCAGTTTGCAAATGGGTGTGGAGGTCAGGATCTGTCTGATTGGTTTGTGATTTCCGTGACAGTAAGAAACTGGTCTTTGTCTCGAATTCTGGGACAGAACTTCAGAATCCTTGGAATTTCCTGAGTGGCAGAAGCAAAAACAACACCTTTTTATTCGTCATAACAGAGCTCTTTCGCCCTCACCTAGTAATATGATTCCTGCTGGGCACCCAGACAGCTTGGGGTGGGAGCCAAAGGAATCAGCCGTGTCATTAGACGGTGGAAACTTTCATCTCCCGTAATTCATGACCTCCGGAGAGGGATTGAGGATGGAGTGAGGGCCCATGGCTGGGGACTTAATCAGTCGTGTTCATGTCATGAGACCTCTGTGACCCCTGAAATAGCACAGTTCTGGGGGTCGGGGTGATAGTACAGCGGGTAGGGTGCTTGCCTTGCGTGTTGCTGACCTGGCTTCGCTACCCATTACGACATACTGTCTGCAGTGCCACCAGGAGTGTAGAACCAGGAGTTAAGGTCCCGAGCACTGCTGAATGTGGCCCCCAAACAAAAATAAATAAAACAAAACAGCACAGTTTTGAGTTGGTCACTCCGGCAGGGTCTGGGACAGTGGGGAGCCCTGGGTGGCTACAGAAGCTCCATGAGCCACCCCTTCCTCCCATTCCCCAAGTCTGCGCAGATCTTTCATTCAACTGATCCCAAATAGTGTCTTTTAAGGCAAGCCCATGCAGGACCAAAGTGCTTCTCCAAGTTTTAAAAGCCCTCCGAGCAAATCGTCCATCCTGGGGAGGGGATCATGCGATGCCAGTTTATATTCTCTTGGCCAGAAATCTAAGCAGACACCTGGGACTTGAGGCTGGTGTCTGAAATCAGCAGCCCTGTAGCCTGAGCCCCTCGATGGGGTCTGAACGGAACGAGCGAGGGGTCAGAAATTAATTTAGTCACTGGACACTGCACGCGTCAGATCATTGGTGTGTGAAAAAGCTTCATATTCGGTACCAGAGATATTCAAGTAATATTTAGCCTGTTCCTCAGAGGACAGGCTCATCTTGGGACATGAGGAAACTGAGCAGCGTGTGGGGACAGGTGAATAATGGCCCCAGACAAGGAAAAGGGATGGGGGTGGGAGGGGGCAGGATGCTAAGAGTGGGCCTGCACTGGTTTGTGAGAACAGCCTCCCTGTGCAACCCAGCTTCCTTCCTTTTAGAAAATTCACGAGTCAGTGACCCCCCCCGGCCCCCCTCCAGCTACGTGGTAAAGCGGGGACAGAGGTGGGGTGGAGAGGTGCACTCTGACCTCCAGCCCCGGCACTTTGTTTAGGTTCACTTTCTTGCTGGCGACAGGGACTCTTGGGAAAACTCACTTGTGTAATCAGCAGTTCCTGAGACCTGGGAATTTGGCACCAGCTGAGCGCGCTTGGTTGGAGGGGGGTGGGGGTGGAGGGGGTGGCGGGTAGTCAGACAAAGGCCTGGGCTCTGGCTGCTGGGTCCTGCTCAGCCACGTGTTAGGGTCCTGCAGAGGGACGGGCTCCTCACACCTCATAGCCCAAGCTTGGAGTCTGTGGAGGGCGGACTAGCACTGCTCACCAATGGGCTTTGGAGGCTGCTGCGCTGCTGATGTCATAGAAGGAGGGCGTGGCCCGGGGTGTGCCCCTGTTGATTCCACCTCCAGCTGGCGAAGCCCTCCTTGGGCCTTGTTTTCATTGAGTCACAGCTCTACTGGCTTGTGCGTTAAAAATAGAGCTGGGCCTCTCCTCCCGGTGACTAACACTGGATGGCTTCTGTACTTCCTTGGAGGAGCTGTGGCTGGGATCTCTTCTACTCAGTTCCTCTTGCCTGCCTCAACCCCAGGAAAAAGGGGCAGGAGGGGGGGAGGGGAGAAGGTGGTGGTCGGACGGCCAGCACTAGTGGGAAAGGCCTGGGGTGGTGGCACCGTCTTGCGATGAATGATGCTTGGGCATCTGCTATAGTGACAGCGTCCACTATAAGGCTGCAGGGTTTGAACTCAGACCGGCCAGGGTCCCAGCCCTGGTTCTCCTCCTTCCCAGCCCTGGCCTTCGACCCATTACGTGACCTCTCTGAATGCTAGGTCTACCCCGCTTGGGAGACGATGAGAGCTCAGTTGATCCCGTACGTGAAGCTCAGGGTCAAGTCTCATGTATGTTGGCTGCTCCCACAGGCCCCTCTGCCCTTGCTGGTGGACGGGACTCTGTTGGATATTCAAGAAAGAGTCAGAGGTTCTGATGAAAGGACACGGGAGTCCCAGGGCCTGTCCAGACTTCTTTCCACTGCTGCTCACAACTCCTCATCTTCTCTTGGTCTCCGGCCATTACTGTGTCCTTAAATCACTCCCAACAGCTGCCCAAGTAGGCCTGGTAACTCAGGACACACCAGTCACAAGAGGACTGTAACCGAGCTTAAAATAGAGACGTGTCCCTTGCCTGGGACAGAGGGCTGCACTGGCTCTGGATGGCAGGCAGACTGCGTCTGCACACCGTGACCGAGTGGGGCCCTGGGCAGCCGAGGGCTGCTGACCGCACCCCCAGGGAGCCACTTCCTCGCTGAGGCCGCCAGGCTCACCTTGGTCCAGAAGCCCCGAGGGTACGAGGGTATGTGTCCTGAGCCTCTGGCTCTACTGCCACCTGGCCAAGGGTGATGGAGGAAGCCTGTGGGTGCGGGTGAGGGGAGACAGGCTTGGGTGGGAGCCATGCATAGGCTTAGGGGCCTGTCTGAAAGTGGATTGGGCTAGTTCTGGCCGGTGGGACAGGGGAGGGGGAGGCAGCTTTGCCGTAAGAAGAGACCCAGGAAGGACCAGGCCACCCATTTGGGTCATCGTGTTGTTTTCCTCAGCCCCGAGTCAGATCATTAGGCCTGAGTGTTGGTGTGCGTGAAACCACCTGGAGAGTGACCACAGCCCAAGGCCCACATAGGAGTGGTGAGACCTTCCCGGACGGATGGGACGGCTCTGGGTCCAGAGCAGCATTTCTCTTCTCTGGCATCCTGGCCTGTGTCACTGACTTTTTCTTCGCCCTCCCCGCTGCAGGTGCCACCATGAAGTCTGACGGCTGCTGACCGGACCCGGGCAGGAGCACACAGCCCAGGAAGGTGGCCTGCAGCCAGTGGCCATGGCTTCTGCTAGCTCCGAGAGCCAGCTCCAAAGAATTATCCGTGATTTGCAAGGTACAGTTAGGCCCCAGGGTCCAACGGGCTTGATTTAGAGGGGTCTGTGACTGGGCTTTGGCTGCTGCCAACTGAAATCCAGTCCTTTCATCTTTGGTCCCACTGGGAGTAACTCGACCCCATCTTAGTGAAGTATTTAAGGCTCAGTTGGCCTCTTTATGTAAGGCTGGGGGAGTTGGCTGGGCCCTCCTCACAGGGCCTGGTGAAACCACTCTGTGAACAAAATCAAAACCTCCCTTCCAGGGTTAGGGTCTGATTTCAGTGTGTGTGTGTATGTGTGTGTGTGTGTGTGTGTGTGTGTGTGTGTTTTCGAGTTACCTGTTAAGTGTGGCTGGATCACGCGCTTCTGGGCTCAGTTGGCTCATTTGAGGAGTAAGATTTTCCCCTGCTCTCAGCAGGAAGATGAGATACCCGTCTTTCTTGTTTTGCTCTCCAACCTAGCTGGCAATCCTCTGGCCTGTGACGCGCTCCAGTTCTGGGCCCGCAGTCTCCCGACTTCCCTGAGCCCAGCACTGCCCAGTGAGAGAGGCTAGCATGTCACCGCCTCACTGGAGAATGGCAGGGAGGGGACGTGTGTGACATGTATAAGGAGGTGTGGACTCAGGGGCAGTGCACTGCAGAGTCTAGGGTCCCAGGTTCACCTGTCCACGTGATACCCCAAGGGTCAGTATTTTGGCAAGTTTCCCACCCTCTGCTGAGTGCCAGGCCAGAGCCTCTTTGGAGCATGGCCCATTTTTATAAAACAGTCAGCCAGAAGCTGACCACTTCTGTGACACAAAGACACAGAGACACAGGGCCACTCCTGACATACAGAAGGCAGATTCCTAAGTGCTCAGTAGCTGGTTACAGCCACAGTCCAGCCCTCATTTTGGAGGTCAAAAGTCAAGGACGTATGACGGCATTTGCTCATCCTTCTCTTCTGTTTACAGAGTGCTCAGGGCCTCTGAGAGCAGATGTTTACCTGTGTTTCTTGTGTGCTAGACACAGTCCTACATGGTGCCTCACAGATAACCAGCCAGGCACCTGCACTTGGGCCTGTGAGGCAGAAACCGTTGCTGTGCCCATGTTGCAGATATAGAGACAGGCAGAGAGAAGTTTGGTGACGTCCCTGAGGCCCCACACAGCAGTGTGTGCACACATACCAGGCGCTCTTTACCACACCTGTGCGCTCCCTGCGGAAATGTACATTCCTGCAGAGCTGAGTTAACCCCGACTTTCAGAGTCTCCGTCTTCCATTTCAGCCTCAGGTTCTCAAGGAAAGGGTTGGCACCTTGGGATCAATATTGCGACCCTTCTCAGTTGTCTGGCCACATGACCCTAAGTGGTTGGCCAGGGAACCCCAGCTGGTGGGCACACAGGGTCAGCCAGGTCCGGTCCATGTGTTGCTACAAAGTGACTGCTCTCAGGACACCTCCACAGGGATGCGGTTGGAGCCCAGGAGCTTTGCCATCATTGGCCTTTGACACTCCCGGGCTTACTCAGCTTCCCTCTCTGCTTCCCTGTTCCGTTTGTTGTCATACAGATGCTGTGACAGAACTAAGCAACGAATTTAAGGAAATAGGGGAACCCATCACCGATGACAGCACCAGCTTGCACAAGTTTTCCTATAAACTTGAGTACCTCCTTCAAGTAAGTGACTCCTGGAACATTTTGTTTTCTGTACTACCGTTTCTTGTTTCTTGTTTCTGTTCTTGGCCACCATTTAACATTCAGGGTATGAATCCAGAAGCTCCCTGGGACTGTTTAGCATCCCTGCGTAGACAGAAGAGCAGAGCAGCGCCCGCTGTGGGCTCGAGCCTCTGGAAAGCTAGACTATCTCCCCTTACAATGGTTTTGGAAATAGAGAATTTTCTTTAGTGATCTAGATCATCTTACAGTAGGCCTCAAGATCCCCATGTTGAAGGGCTCATCCCTTTGGGCTGCCACTTGCCCCTTGGACACACTGTGGAAGCCATGGGATCTCTCGCCAGGCAGACATGCATATCTGTGCACACCCCTCATACTCACGCTGGGTTGTGCAGCCCCTCAGCAGGTTGTCTGGAGGCTCCTGCCAGAGCTGTGACACCGGTGGCCATAGCATCGTGGGGGAAGCACATTAGACACGTTGCTGTGGCTCCATCCTGACCTGCTGAGTCGGTGCCTCTAGGAAGCCTCCGACCTGCTCACAATGACTGACACCTGCGATGCTGGTGTCAACTCTGTGCCCAGAGTACCATCTCCTGTGACCAGTGGGTTTCCACCTCTAGGGCTGCTCTGCCAGTGTCAGGATGGTTGGACACCATTAACGGGGTAACTCTGCAGATGTGGAAAAGTGCAGTTGACTCTAACAGACAGGAGGAAAAGGTGGCAGTGTTGCCAGAAGCGGACCTTGTTCTGGTAGCACAGTGTTACTGAACATTCTTAGTGATGGTGGGATGACGCTTTATGGGTTTTTCAAAAAATTATGATTACTGTTTGACCTGGATTTCTTAACAGTATATGCATATCTTCCTGCTATAATCAGAAAAAGGCATTTTTAAATGAAGGTTGTTACAGAGAAGGGATATCCGTGTCATTTTGAACAACCGGTGGTTTGTGGTGTCATGACCACAAAAACATCTAGAAATCTTTTTTTAAAAAAATTATTTTTTAAAATTCAATTTTATTTTTATAAAGTAGTTCACAATATTTGATTACATTTAATATTTGAACACCAATTCCATCACCGTTACACCTTCCCACCACCGTATTTTGGATGTTTCCATCCCTAGCCCCAACCCCTGCTCCAAAGCAGAACCAAAACCAAAATTGTTTATTATGAATAAACCGCTGAAAATGCTCCAAAAAACTTTCTTTAGAGGAGAGTGTGTGAAGATTGTTGTATTTCACCCAGGGGCTATTAAGCCCTTCTATAAGAGATTACTAATATGTTGTTAAGGGTTGAGCCTTGTGTGCTTTTATATAAATATATATAGCCTTCTACTTTAAACATCACCAAATGTGATGCACTACTCTTGGAGTATGAGTGGTGTGAGGTATGAGATGTTGTGGTCCAGGGATAGGTTTACTTGTGGATGAGGCTCGGCCTGAGGTGTGGAGAGCAACTGTGAGCATGATGGCAGTTGAGGTCTGGAGGTTTTCGGCTCCCAGGGCTGGGTCCCTTGGGGCAGGGAGGGGCCTCACCTACCCGCCTCCAGGGTGCCCCAAATGAAACAGCCTGGCACGGGGTCCAGGAGCATGGCTGTGGTGAGTCTTTTTATGCTCTCATCCAAGAGAGTAGGACCACATCTAGAGATCTTAATGAGATTGCTAATGAGTCCCCAGATGAGTTACCCCAACGCACAGATGGGCTTGCCCTGCCCAGGCCTCTTCAGCTGCATCTCAGCCTTGGGAAATATAGATGGGAAATTTGTTTTCCAGTTGGCTCATTTTGGATTTGGATTTGAGATGATTCATAGTTGACACTTACCTGAATTTATTGTATTTATTGAGACAGCTTTGGCACTTGAGTGACGGGGATAAAAATGTCACTAACTCATCTCTGTTCATTGAGAGAGTCATTACCCCAAATGTTGTACCCTTGTGTGTCTTTATCATTGTTGTTAATCGCAACTTCAGTGGTCTTCCTCTCAGTCCTGGACTCAGAATTCCCTTCAAGGGATGATTTGGGGTAGGGGGCAGTAATTTGTGAATCTCACTAGTTATGTGACTTTAAGCCAGTTAACCTCTCCTAGCTTCTGTTTTCTCATCTGCGACTTGGAGAACGAAATACCCTCATTAGCACAAAATAAAAATAAGGTCAGTGAAAGACCTTGCCTAATGCTGGATGGCTACAAAGTTATCCTCACTTTGTATGGTTTAAATGACTAGATGGCCAGCAGTGGGTTCAGACCGCTTCCCTCTGTCCTTTTCCCCTGCCCAGTTCGATCAGAAGGAGAAGGCCACCCTCCTAGGCACCAGGAAGGACTATTGGGATTACTTCTGTGCCTGCCTGGCGAAGGTGAAGGGCGCCAATGACGGGATCCGGTTTGTCAAGTCCATCTCGGAGGTAAGCTCAGCCGCTCCGGGCCTCGTCTTCCTCTCCTCTGCCTGGTGTCTCATGCAGATATTTTTGCTGCTGACAGCCAAATGCAGAAGTTGGGGTGTGCAAGTGATGTGAAACCCAGTGAAACCCAGATCAGGTAGACTCGTTGTCCACTATTGCCCTGGATTGGGCTCCAGAAGCCTCCTTGGCAAGTGTTTTCCAAGTCGAGGAATAACTCCATCCACCCCGACAGGTCGTACATAGGACCCTCACATGCCTGGTACAGCAGGCCCTGATGTCTGTCTGGGTATCCACGGGAGGAGAGAGCACAGGATGCTTCCACCTCTAAAAGTTAAATTTTTAGATGAGATTATTTGGTATTTGAAGCTACTTTCCTTACAGTTTTGCCCAGGAAATTTGGGCTTAAAATGAAGAGAGTGAGATGACATCTTAAGAGATATGAGATTTCTGCAAATGCTGGTGTGTTAATAAGCAATTTCAGTTTTTCAGTTCTCCAACTCTCCCTCCCTCCCCCCCACCCTCTTTCTCTCTCTCTCTTCCTCCCCCACTTCTCTCCAATCTAGTAAACCATAGGGGCAGGGTGGACTAAGACTGTCTGTTTCATCTCTCCCGTATCAGTACCTGTAAAATCAGGAGACCTGCCCCTTGGCTGGCCTCCCGGAAAGGTCAGAGTCACGTGCTCTGGGAAGGTCTCCCACACTCTGCCCACTGGGGCAGGTGGGTTTCTTCTAACAGAGAAGGACAGTTTGAGCCGCACCAGCATTGAGAGCTAGACATTTTCCACCAGCTGCACCATCTGACAGTTCAGAGAGTGAAGGCCCTGGCCAGTTTGTTCTGCAGGTTTTCTAAACACTCTGTGGCTCAGACAAGTCTTGTGGGATCCTCCCAGAGGCTGCTCAAGCTGCTGGCATCGGGCAGAGTTTGTTGCTTCCTGAAATCAGAGAAGGTTCCCAGTGTCCCTGCTCTCCCTTCCACTCTGCAGAGCAAAAACAGACTTCAGTCTTGTGACTTCAGACAGCTCAAGTCTGGAAATAAATCTGGTTTTAGTTATAAGTGGGAAATCCTCAGTTCCCAGGGTTATGAAATACACACAACTACTTCTGGCTAGTTTCCTTTTCTGATGATGCAGCCAGACCCTTTGACAGTCAGGGGCAGGGAACCTGAGTTCTCAGAGTATCAGCCCTGCTTGTACGGGACCTGGTGGTTCCTTGGAAGTTGTCACAGGCTCCCCACATCCCATAGGGTTCACTCGTCTCATCTTCCCTGAAATCTCCTCTCAGAGGCATCATGAGGTAGGACAGCCTAGAATATCACCTGGGCAATGGGCTGTTCCATACGCAGGGTAACTTTAATAATAATTAAGTTTCATCCAGGCCAACAAACCAGAAGGTAAACATTAATCTACATGAAGCATTACCAGGAGGACAGAGCAGTAGTATAGCTGATAGGGCACTTGCCTTGCATGCAGCAACCCAGATTCAATCCTTGGTATCAGATAGGGTCCCACAAACACTGCCAGGAGTGATCCCTAAACACAGAGCCAGGTGTAAGCCTGGCCAGGTATCACCCCTTACCCACTCTATTCCCCATGGGCCCCTCAGGGTCCTTTGGAAACAGCCACTTGGACAATATGGTCTAATGCTTTGGTGCACTGCTTCAAGTGCTTTTGAAAGAGTCTAGCCCCGACTTTTCATGTGTTCCCTCCATGGATTGGATGAAAACAGGCTGTCCCGCTGTCCAGGCTCCTGGGTCCCTGTGCCTGAATGGAGAGTCGCCTCCTGTGGCCCTTATAGACTTCCTGCCCTTCATGCTCTCGCATCTCAGCACAATGGAGTTGGGATTAGATGAAAACCGATTTAAGGAACTGGGTAATGAGAGCAGACCTGTGGTGTCAGAAACAAAAACTAGGATGTGACTGAGTGTTTTATTTACAGTACAAAGGAATGATTCTCTTCCCTTTGTACTGTAACCTCAATAGAGGTTTTTAAATACCTTTGAAATAAAAAAGCTCCCTTTGCAGGTTGTCAATTCAGCTCAAAGGTTCAGTTGAAAATACAGCCTCAAATATTTGCCGTTAAGGAAATTTTGATGTCTTCAGTGCAGTGAGGACAACTGCTTTGCTAGGACAAACCCATCCCTGGGACCTCACAACAGTGACTTGAGGCTCTTGGGGAAATTTCAGGATTCCTGGGGAGGGTGTCGTGGTATGACTGACACGTCTGGCTTCACAGGGTCCCACTCAACTCTGTTTCATCTGCCCCAGGGTACTAGTCTCACAATACTCTGTTCTTCCCTCATGAGACAAAAAAGTGTTTGGACAGGGCGCGTCATCAAAATTCCCTCCTGGGGTACAGAGAGTCAAGTGGGTAGAGCCCTTGATTTGCTTGTGGCCTACCCAGGTTCCACATATGGCCCCCGAACACTGCTAGGAGTGATCCCTGAGTGAGAGCCACACTCCTGGGAGCTGGCCCACCGAAACAAAGCCAAACGAATTAAAAGTCCCTCCATCTGCAGACATAGCCTGGCAATTTGTATAAAGCCAGTGACCCCAAACCCACAGAGTTAACTTGGAGAAGCATCTGAACCCCAGTTGTTCATGAGGTTTCACACCTTTTTCTTTTCTTTTTTTTAATTACTTAAGGTATTGCGTCAATAGTAAGGGCATGCTCTGAGGAGGAACAATTTGTAAACACCAGGATGTTTACACCATCATAAGTGTATCAGAGCCAAGGCTACCACAGATTTCCTGTCCAGTCTTTTCTCGGTGGGATGGAGCGTTGGGATAATGTTTTGAGTTCAACAGGACTGCCCCTGCCCTCAGCCCTGAATCAAACCTTTTGACCTTTGAAGGCGCGAGGAGGGTATAGGCGTTTGCTTACCCTGCCCAACACATCTGCTAGAACAGGTGCGTGTGGCAGGCCTAGAAGTTCTGAACTTGTACCTGCTTATTTTGAGCTTCTGGGGATCCCAAGTTGCAGGGATCAGCTGGTCTCAAGTGTCCTCTGCAAACTGTCCCCTATATTCCATCTGTCTTGGCAGCTGTGTGCTCACAGTTGGCTGACCCCTGTGTGGCCAAATCCCTGAGCAGCCTATCCCTTTTTCAACACAAGCTGTATTTTGGCACCATGGGGAGAGGGTTCAGAGACAGGCCTCCATCTGGACACCAACCCCTCTAACCCCCGCCTGCGCTCTTCACCTCACACAGAACCATGGGCATTTTCTATTGTTGTTACTCCAGCATGACTGAGTCATCCAGAGATGTCCCTCATTTCACCCCCGGGCACCTTCTAAATAATATGAGTTGGCATATCTGGAAAGAAATAAGTCCAACTAGAAAAGCTTTGACAGATACGTGAATTTTACTGATGATTTCTTGAGGACACAAAGTACTTCGACTTCCATTCAGATATCTTAAAAGTCCCTCTTCCACGCCCCCCCTTTGGCCTTCTGTGGCCCATTATTAGCTGGATGGAGTCTCCCCAAGCAGCCCTCTTGTGGGAGAAGCTCTTTGTTTACCTCCTTGTTTCAGTCCACATACTCCAAAAGGAATCAGGCCATTTCCAATGGGACTCCAAACCCAGAGAGGCTAGCTGAGCAGCAAAAGGTGAGTGGCATCTGGTCCAGGGCTGCTCACGAGGATGTCCTCCTCAGTGTGTGTGCCATAGTCCACAGGTTTATCTCTGGTGGCATCTGAGAAGAAAAGAAAGGAGTCCATACTGTCAGGCCTCATTCTCTGGGGCTGACATTATCAACGTTCATCTTTTGAGGGACACGGGTAAAACCAGCATAAAGGATCAAATTGGGGAATGTTTTCTAGTTGGTTTCTCTGTTTTGAAAGGCATCCTTCAGGCCCAGTTTGGAGTGGAAAGTTTGTCAGTCTCTATGTAATCTTGTTTCTTTGCAGCTTCGGACATCTCTGGGCAAAGGCAGAGCATTTATTCGCTATTCCTTGGTGCACCAGAGGTTGGCAGACACCTTGCAGCAATGCTTCATGAACACCAAAGTAACCAGGTAAATCGCCTCTCATGTTCAGCAATGCACTAAAATCCCATCTTCAGTGATGAAGACAAATGCTGCTGTGCCTGCTGGTGTCACGCCTCAAGTGAAGTCTTTCCACATCAGCCGTTGTCTTTCTCCTCTTCCTCCACCACCCTTGATGCATGCAGGGCAGGCGAGGAAGGGATTCATGCCGTTTTCTTGGCTACACTAGTGCTGGGCCCTAAAGGAACTTTGGCCCAGGTCTCTTTATTCCTCCTGACATACTGTAGTTTTCCCTGTGCTTGGCCTGAACTGGGTACTCAGCAGAATCACTGGTGAGGCTTTTTATGTCAGTGGGACCTGATGTCGGGAGAGATACTGAGTCATACCTGCTGGGCCTGTCTGAAGCTGCTGTGGCCCCCTGGGTAGTCCGTGTGGTTAGCCTTGGTGACTCAAATGCAGAACCCTGGGAGAGCAGGAAGTGAGGAGAGAGGAGGCACTGAGCCCATGCAGGGGAGAGGAGTTGGCGGATACTCAACAGCTGGGCTTGGCGAGCACCCCTTTCCGGCTCTGCCTCTCCTCTCCCTTGGCCTGTCTTCCCAGCTGATCAAAAACAAATCACTTCTGAATTTAAAAAAAAAGGTGGAAAATTTTTTGTTTCATCTTGTCTCCTTCAAAATTAATTTATATAAAGATCCATTTCTCTTGCATGGGTAGGCCTTGTAAATTCCTTTGAGTTGAGAACCTTTGCCTGCTTGATTTGATGGTGGTTTGTAGATGTTTGGTCAAGCCCTCATAAACTGCGGGGGCTTCCGGCATACCACAGTTCACAGACATCAGCTACATGATGTCTTTAAATTCATCTGTTTAAAAGTTTTCACTTTAAATTTTTTGTTTTGTTGTTTTCCATGAAATAATTATCACCTTGAAGTGGAGTTTTTCTTTGCACTTGGCTTTTAAATTGTTGTCAGCATAGAGATTAGCCATAAGTTCAGCTTTTTGTGTTGAATTTTCCAGAAGAAATAGAGGATGACATTATATTTTTAAAAAAGAAGTATTTAATCCTCTTTAACAGACCTTTCTTGGCAAGCAATTTAGATATGTTTTCTTGCATCTATTTTGGGAAAGATATATCATATATAATATATGTTATTACATAATTCATTTGTTTTCGTAATTTCTTTGAGGAATAAGTTTGTTTGAGAGTTATATAATTATGCTATGAAAATTAAATTTGTCCTTTTTTTGTCTTTAACTGATTTTGTAATTCATTTTGTAACCTTGAGTTAGAATTTGATAAGGTAGAGCCATTCTGGAAGAACTCATTAAATTCGTTCTTTCCTTATCTTGGTTGCTTTTGTAATTGATACCTTTCATTTTTCCCTGTAGTGACTGGTACTATGCAAGAAGTCCCTTTCTGAAGCCAAAGGCGAGCTCTGACATTGTGGGCCAACTCTATGAGCTGACCGATGTTCAGTTTGACCTGGCATCAAGGGGCTATGACTTGGATGCTGCCTGGCCCACCTTCGCCAGGTACCTTGAAGATGTGTTTGGTTTAAAAGACAAAGGGGAAGGTGTTTTGTCATGTTGAAGACTGACACCAGTTTACTCAGAGCCATGTTACTTGCTCAGTACATTGCATAAAGCATTGCAACTCATATGCCTGTTAATTTTACAGACTTTGTTGAATCATAACTAATATAATAACATTGGAAAGCTCCAACTTTAAATTAACCTAATTTACCAACTGGTGTGGGTCTGTGGCAATACATATACAAAAGCCAAGGTGTTTGGGTCCAAAACACAAAAAAAACAAAAGTGGAGGGATTTGTCCAAAAACATTACTGATCAATGGCAGGACCAAGACATAAGACTCAAGTCTGATGAAACTGAAAGCCAGTGTTCCTTGTTTTGTTTTGCTTTACTTCAATGAGGCATTCTGAATTTCAATTTTCATATTTTCATTAGGAAATACTTTTTTTTAGAGAAATATCTGAGGGGGCAAGTGCTAATCACTAGGGTTATAAACCAACATTTTGTCATATTTATGTTACTTATCTTTTTAAAAACTTTTTAACTGTGAAACCATTTTACAATTTCGGAAAAGTTTCAGAAATAGTGTCATGTACCCATCTGTCTTTCACCTCAATTCCCTAGTTATCAATATTTTCTATTTCTCTTAGAAAAATTCTTTTTCTTTATGTTGGTTTATTCTCTGAGCCATTTGGGAGTATATTATACACTTAATTCCTTAGACCAAGCAGTTCATTGTGCATTTCCTGAAAGCATGGCCCTCCTTTTATTAAATGAGAAAATTAACACCAATACAGTACTGCTATCTAAACCTTATGCAACTTTTGAGAATTATCCCCAGAATGTCTTTTACAATCCAGCATCACATATTGCAGTATGTACAGTCTCTCTGGTCCTCTTTCCTTTGGAAGTTTAGCAGTCTTTGTTCCAAATTGCCTGAAAAGTGTAGGCCCTGTTCTTTTTCCTGTGAAGCATTCTTTCATTTGTGATTGTCTGGTGTTTCCTCATTAGCAGATTCAGGCTCAGCATTGGTGGTGAGAATGCTTGGCATTGTGTCCTCTTCTGCTTGTTTCGTCAGACATACAGTACCAATATGCTCACCACTAGCAAGGTCAGCCCTGGTGGCTGGCCACGGTGGTTGGTGAGGGTGCAGCTAGTCATTTTTTATCTGTAAAGGTAAAGGTAAAGGCCCTCCCGTTGATCGTCGATTTGCTCGAGCGGGCCCAGTAACGTCTCCACTGGAGACTTTGTTGTTACTGTGTCTGGCATATCGAATACTCTCGGTAGCTTCCCGGGCTCTCCGAGAGGGGCGGAGGAATTGAACTCGGGTCGGCCATGTTGGCCGCGTGTAAGGTGAACGCCCTACTCGCTGTGCTATCGCTCCAGCCTGTATTTGTATTTGATAGAAATATGCTTGAGGTTCGGTATTATCCTGTTTCTCTGCAAGGAAAGATTGCTGCCCTGTGGTGAAGAGCAATGGTTTCTACCCTTTCACACCTGCTACAGGCACCTGGCCCAGCACTGCTCCTGCGATAACCACCGAGTGAGGCCAGTGATTTTTGTCTTCTTGATGCCGACAGACTGACACTGACTGGTCTGCAGACCTGTGGGTAGAAGCGATTCATGATGCAGAGTCTGTTGTTCATATAAACCAGTCGGTTTCCCTAGCAGTGAGTTAGGCTGGTTCCTCTTCCTGCCAGTGCTGCTGGGAGTAGCTCCCTGTTTCTCTCTGTGTACTATGTGACTGTCTTTAAGATAGACACTGAAAAGCGGAATTGCTGACTTGCGGACACAGGTTTTAAAAATGGAACAATTTTAGGGCCAGAGCAGTAGTACAATGGGTAGGGCGTTTGGCTTGCACATGGCCAGCCATGGTTTAATCCCATATAGTCTCCTGAGCACTGCTAGGAGTGATTACTGAGCTCAGAGGTGGGAGTAACCCCTGAGCATCACCAGATGTGACCCCCAAACCAAATAAATTAAAATGGAACAATTTTAGATTAAGGAGAAAATTCTGTAAAATATGAATTTTAAGAAAAATTTAAAATTTAAGTAAAAATGTGTCTAGTTTATAGTGTTCCCACTCAAACAAGAAGCTGTTGTGTTTCTAGACTAGTGCGGTCAACTGAATTGTCTTCCAGTAAAGGAAATACTCCATGTCTGCACTGACCAGTGCATGCACTTGAATTAGAAGTGGGTCTTCCAGCCACACTGCATAGATAGACTGTTAAGTGGTACCCAGGGGCCTGTAAGCACAATGCAACCTTTGTTTACCAGATCCACAGCTGCTTGATCCTCCCTAGTGGACAGACCAGAGTAGGCATGAAAGGTTCAAGGAAAACATAAGCCAAAAATCAGTTGTTGTTAGATTCACTTAGTTCTGTTTTGGCAAGAAGTGGAAACTTGTCACATTTGCATGTTAGTGCCAGTGCTCCTGTGCTGAAGGTTGACATAAACTGTACACTCTACTCAGGAGGCTTTGCCCTACAACCACCTAGTTGCCTAACGACATCTGTCCTCTGAGTAAGTGTGTATATGTCCATGTTCTTTCCTGTGCGAATCTGAGCATGTCTGTTCTGTGGCCCCACAGGAGGACACTGACTCCTGGCTCATCTGCCTACCTGTGGAAACCCCCCAGCCGAAGTTCCAGCATGAGCAGTCTGGTGAGCAGCTACCTGCAGGTAATTAATGCCAGGACGGCCAGGCCTTCTTCTCTCTAGTGCACCAGGGTCTGCCCTCACTCTGAGCAGCGCAGCATCATGTCCTCAGACACCTGCCCCGCCCGCCCTCCCCCCCAGATTCCGACAGCCTAGTAGCATCTAGGCCTATGAACCTTTTAATTCTTATGCCAACTTTGAAATATCTTCAAAGAAGCGGTTTAAGGCAAATCGGTCTTTCCTCTGCCAACTGTATGGCCCAGGGAAGATGACCTGCTCTCTCAGAGCTCCAGATCTCTCATCTGGAAAATGAGGACCATGACAGCTCTCTGAGCCCACTGGGGCGGGCGGGAGGATGGAGGTGGGGCAGGAGACGGAATGTACCAGGCTCCCGGGTTTGACAGAAGCAGGCGATTAATGAGTGTTTGCCGACTAATGGGCGTTTGCTGGAGGGTTAGTTTTGTTAGAAACAGGAAACATTTTTGGTTACATATTGCTTTACGGGAAGAAACTGAAATCAACCAATAAAAGTTGACGAAGATAAGTATTAAAGGTAGGAAATAGATAAATCTCTCATCCTGTTTCAAGGTTTATTCGTCTCAGATGTTATGGTGCAGAAGTTAATGGTGCAGTGGGTGAGCAGGGTTGACTGTGGTCTCAGTAAACTCCACGTGTGTCAGAACCAGCCCCGCTGCTGTTGCTGAAGCTGCAGTGCAAGGCAGATGGCGAGTGCAGGAGCCTCAGCAGGACTCGTGGCCTAGCCTTGGGCTTTGCTGTGCCGCCTGCCGCCTTTGTCCGCTGCTGTGCACTCAGGGGATACAGTCACTGTCCTCCCATTATTCATCGATTTGCTCAACCAGGCCCAGTAACGTCTCCATTGGAGACTTTGTTGTTACTGTGTTTGGCATATTAAATACATCACGGGGAGCTTGCCGCGTGCCGGCGAGATACTCTCGGTAGCTTGCTGGGCTCTCTGAGAGGGGCGGAGGAATTGAACTCGGGTGGCCATGTTGGCTGCATGCAAGGCAAACGCCCTACCGCTGTGCTATCGCTCTTTATAAACTAGCTGTAGGTCTTCTAGTTTCTGCATTTTTACTTCTTTTTCAGTGAACACTAAGTCTTCCCAGGTAGCTCTGTGGCTTCATTCCAATGGCCACTTGTCTTATTTTTGCCACCACAGACCCAGGATATGGCCTCCAGCTTTGATCTGAACAGCTCCTTAAACAACGAGGCTCTGGAAGGCTTTGATGAGATGCGGGTGGAGCTGGACCAGTTGGAGTTGCGGGAGAAGCAGCTGCAGGAGCGGATACAGCACCTGGAGAGAGAGAACCAGGAGCTGAGGACGACCATCCGCTCGCAGGAAGAGCAATTGAGAGAGGAGAAGGAGCGGGGTCGCGTGGCGGCGGCGAACAGCATGCACCTCCCCTACGTGCTGGCCGAGCTCCAGAAGCAGTGGGAGGTCACGCAGGCCACACAGAGCACCATGCAGGAGCTGCAGGTATGCCTGCAGGCCCTGGAACAGGGCGCAGCCGAGAAGGAGGAGGATTATCAGTCAGCCCTGCAGCGGCTGGAGGCCCTGCTGCAGCCCCTGGCTCGGGAGCTGGAGGCCACCCAGGATGCACTAGGCAGGAAGAACCAGCACCTGATCAGCATCCAAGGGCAACTGGGCACAGCCGAGTGCAAGGCGGATATGGTGCCCAAGCCAACGGGATCACCAGAGCTCACCCCTCTCAGTGCGGCCCCGGAGCTCCAGGCACCAGAGGAGAAGCTCCGAGCCCTGGAAGGAGAAAACGCTCAGATCCGGGAGCTCAGCCGGCAGCAGGGTGCCCGGCTGGAGCAGCTGCTCCAGGAGCTGCAGCTGAAGGAGGAGGCCCGGGCCCGCCTGGAGGTCCAGGTGGAGGAGATGGGCCCTCTCCGGGAGGAGCTGCTCAGGAAGCAGCAGCAGGTGGCCCAGCTCCACCAGGAGCTCCAGGAGTCCGTGAGCCGGGGGCTGTCCCTGCAGGCCGAGCTGCAGGACGCCCGGCGGGAGGAGCAGGGGTTGCGGGATGAGAAGGTGCTGTTGGAGCAGGAGACCCGCTCCCTCACTCGGCAGCTGCCCCTGCTGGAGGCCCAGCTGGCGCAGGTGAGCCAGCACGTGAGCGACCTGGAGGAGCAGAAGAAGCGCCTCATCCAGGACAAAGACCACCTGATGCAGAAGGTGGGGATGTGGGAGCGGCACCCCGACCAGAGGGAGACGCTGGGTCCCCGAGACACCGCCCAGCCCCTGGCCAGCCAGAAGCTGGAGGAGGTGGGGGAGGCCCAGACGGCGGGCAGCCCCCAGGAGGAGAACCTCCAGCAGGGCACGGCGGGGCTGGAACAGGAGCTGCAGAGGGTGCTGGAGCGCAACCAGCTCCTGGAAGGCAAGCTGCAGGCCCTGCAGGCCGAGTACCAGGCCCTGCAGCAGCGGGAGGCGTCTATCCAGGGCTCCGTGGCCTCCCTGGAGGCTGAGCAGGCCAACATCCGGCACATGGGCGACCAGATGGAGGCGAGCCTCCTGGCCGTGAGGAAGGCCAAGGAGACCATGACGGCCCGCGTGGCCGAGAAGGACGCTGCCCTGCAGAGCAAGGAGGCCGAATGCCAGCAGCTGCGCGAGCAGGCGGAGGAGAGCCGGCGGCTCGCCCAGGCCCAGGCCGAGGAGATCCAGGCTCTCCAGAGTCAGTGCCAGCGGCAGACCCGGCTGCTCGAGACACACCCAGCAGCAAAGGACCCGCAGGGGCTCGGTCCACCCCAAGACAGTGCCTCCTGTGAGCTCGCTGGCCAGCTGGCTCTCTCCCAGGCCCAGGTGGAGGTCCACCAGGGGGAGGCCCAGCGGCTGCAGGCCAAGGTGGCGGACCTCCAGAGCCGACTCCAGGCAGCCCTGGGGGAGCAGGAGAAGGTGCAGAGCCAGCTGAGTGTGGCCGAGGCGGCGCTGAGGGACCATAAGGTCCTCGTGCAGCAGCTGAAGGAGCAGAACGAGGCCCTCAACAGGGCGCATGTCCAGGAGCTGCTACAGTGCTCGGAGCGGGAAGGGGCCCTGCGGGAGGAAAGGGCCGGCGAGGCCCTGCAGAGGGACCAGGACCTGGAGGCCCTGCAGAAGCTGCTGACCCAGGCAAAGTGCAGCTCCCAGGAAGCCGAGGCAGAGCACGCTGAGCTGCAGGAACAGCTGCACCGGGCCAACACCGACACGGCCGAGCTCGGCATCCAGGTCTGTGCGCTGACCGCCGAGAAAGAGCGGGTCGAGGGAACGCTGGCCCGCACCGTCCAGGAACTCCAGGACACCAAAGAGGCCGCCTGCCGGGAGCGCCAGGCCCTGGAGTGCCAGGTGGCGAGCCTGCAGCTGGAGAAGGAGAGCCTGCAGGAGAAGCTGGGGGCGGCCCAGGAAGCAGCCAGTTCCTTGCCGGGTCTGCAGGCACAGCTGACCCAGGCCGAGCAGCGCGTGCAGAGCCTGCAGGAGGCCGCGCGCCAGGAGCACGACACCCTCAAGTTCGTAATGAGCACCGAGATCATGGACTCCCAGAGCAAGCTGAAGGTAACCCTCGCCCTGCACTCCCGGATCCCGTCCGCTTCCTGGGGGTGGAGTGGGGATCGGGTGCATGGGAGGAGGGCTGCCCCTTGGTCCAGGTGGCTCGTGAGTGAGGGCCCAGGATGTACCGGGGTAGGGGGTTGGGGGCGGGCGAGTGAGGTCTCCTGCCCTCCTCACGCACAGCCCTAGGGGCCTCGGTCTGGACCTCCCCACTCAAAACCACGGCATGCAATCTGTTCCGCACGGAATGTTTGAAGCTGGAGAGCAGGATGTGACCGACTCAGCTTAGGGACTTCCTTTGGGATCTCAGAAGGCCTGAAACCTGTGCCTTCCTTTCTATACGGTGGCAGGCCGCAGGCCCTGGGTGGTGGACCCACCCCAAAGGAGGTACACGGCATGGGGTGTTTTTCTGTTCGAGGCCTCTGCACAGCCATCTGGCCTTTCTGATCCTTCAGATACTGGCCTGAAACCAGGTGCAGCCTGGGGAGCAGACATGGTGCCTTTTCACAAAACCCCAGGATACAGGAACTTAGAATGGGTGGTGGGTTCCTGCCAGCCTGAAGAAGGTTCCATGGGCGCAGACTGGGGGCCTGGAGGCTGTCCGTGGGGCTTTGGTTTCTGGTGCTGTGCCTTTGGCTGTGTGTGTCAGGCATGTGTGTCTCCTACAGCTCCTCACCCTCCTCCAAGGAGCTGTGGCATTTCCACAGAGCTCTTCCCACCCCATGGGACTCTCAGAGGCCACTATTTTTTTTTTTTTTGTGGAATTTTAATGCAAAGTTTGGGAGTCAAGCTAAGTCTCTTAGTAAACTTGGAAGATATTGTTACCACGGAAGTCCAAAGTTTATGGAGTTTGTGGGGGCAGGGGGCAGGGGAGACATTGTTTTTATAGCCTTGGGGTCAGAGGAGTCTCAGAACAGTTCCCTCCCCTTCTACCACCGTTTCTGCTCTCCAGACTGCCAATGAGGAATGCAGGAGCCTCCAGGCCCAGCTGGAGAAGCAAGGCCGGAAGCTGCAGGCTGCCGAGGAGGCCATGGAGAAGCTGAAGGTAGGCGCTGGCCAGGGCAGCCCGGGAGAGCCCACCTGGGAGCTCTGACAGGCCCCAGAGGGCACCGGGCAGTGGGGTGGTGAGTGCAGGCAGGGGAGGGGGAGGGGGGCAGGGGTCACTGTAGGAGCAGGATCTGGTTCCCTTTCCCTGCCCCATCTCAGAGGGCTCCCGCGGAACTAGCCACCCTCATGCTGCAACTGTCATCACTGGACAGCCCCTTCCCACTACCTGGAAGCCTGATTGTGTCTGGACACCTGACAGCTGACATCTGCCAGCTGTGTCTCTTGTCCATCCCAGTGGCCTGTGGGAAGGAGACAGGTCATCCTTTGTGGCCCTTTCCGCAGGCATTGCCCAGTTAACTGATTCCACCTGGTGCAGGGGGTGGTCCCGAGACCCAGTGTCAGAACAGGGACTTTTCCAAATGAACTTCGTTCCCGGCGACCCCACCTCCACCCCTGCCCCAGAGGGCCCGATCCTGCCGCCCTTGCCGCCGCAGGACCCAGTGACAGTGACAAACAGGGTCACGTCCCTTCCACGATGGAACTTAAAAACAAACTAAAGTCTGTCCCATTGGAAGTGACCCAGCTCAGTGTGGGGAGGGGGGGGCGGGCACACCTGTCACTCAGGGCAACCAGCATGGGCTTCTGTGAGCTGAATGTCTCTCCCTGATGCCCTGTGCCAGGCTGCCCTGGAGGACATGAGCGAGAAGCTGAGCCACGCAAACAGCTGCCTTTCCGAGTGCCAGGCGGCCGTGCTGAAGAAGGACGAGGAGGGGGCCGCCCTCCGAGAAAGCCTGAGCAGGTTGGTTCCCATCCCCCTCCCTGGGGGCAGCGAGCTGCAGGGAAGGCAGCTCTGGTGGAAAGTCATTTAGAAAGTCAGACACTCATACCAGGCCCCGAGAAGTTCTTCTGCGAGAAAAGCCACAGATGCTGGCGTCAGAGCCCCCTGGCAAGGGGCCCGCGGTGCCCTATCGGCAGCCGCAGGACCTTTCTGCCGGTTCCATTTCCTTATCTCTGCAGGGCATTTTCCAGTTCAGTGAACTAGATGTTTTGGAAGAACCAGGATAAACTGAAAAGTGGGCTCTCGTAATGGTCAGGGTAGGAGCAAACGTTTGAACAGTGCCTCAGTGGAGGTGGGGTGGGAGGTAGGCGCTGCTTCGACTTTGTTGCAGCTCTTTCCCCAGGTAGCCCTCCCTCCAGTCCTTGGAGGCTGGTCCTCTCCTTCTTTGTTCCCATTTTACAGAGGGCAACGAGGCTCAGTGGAGCTAAAGGTCAGAAGGTATGCAAGTCAGAGTGGTGGGCTGGCAGCCCAGCCCGTTTGGCTCCGGAGTCTGGTTCCCTCGGCAGTTTCCTTTACAATGCAGAGATCCTTTGGGCTTTGTTTCAGCTTGGCATGAGTGCCTGTCTTCCCTCACCATGAAGCTTTGTCTTGCGCCCCGAGGTGCAGCGGGGTCAGGAGGGGGAATTCTCCCAGACTCGCCAGAGAGTGCGTGTGCCAGGAACGGGACTGGCTCACCTCTCCCAGGACAGGGGCCACGTGTCCCCGTGCGGAGCCCATCACTCCATCACCTCTCCCAGGACAGGGACCACGTGTCCCTGTGCAGAGCCCATCACTCCATGACCCATTCATCGTGACTCGTTTGCCTTCAAGTTCAGCCTGGCTTGTGGCCAGCCCTGAGTCATCCACAAGCCTCATCACCTTCAGAACTGGGACCCCCATAGAGCGTGAACCTGAGCTGGTCACCTGGTGGATGGGGCCAAGCTAGTCCTGTCCAGGGTCATGGTGAGAGACATCTGAGACTGAACTGCCGTCTGCTGCCCCCAGCTGGAGGGGAGACACAGGGCACGTTGGAGATTCAGTCACTTGGATATCCATTTCTTCCCAACTGGTATTTCCAGAATTCTAATACTACAGGGCTCTGACTGCATGTGGTCAGCTTCTTCACATGACAGTGGGAAGACAGAGAACCTCCCAAGTTGATGTTTTTTGTCTTTCTCTTTGATGCTATAGAACAGGGCCAGAGAAACAGTACAGCGCATAAGGTCCTTGCTTTGCGTGCAGCCGACCTGGGTTTGATCCCGGGCACCCCATATGGTCCCTGAATCCTGCCAGAAGTGAGTGCAGAGCCAGCAGTAACCACACTGACCACACTAAGCTGGGTGCGGTCCAGAACAAAACAAAATAAACAAAAAAAAACCATAACAGCAGCTCTTTGTTAGATTGCTCAGAGCAATTATTTTAGCTGCTCACGGTTGCATAATTCACCTGACCAGGTCTGGTCGTGCGTGCATGTACAGACTGGTCTGTCTCTTTAGAGCCCTGTGTTCTGTAGAGCTTTTGTGAACCTCCTGCTGGCATCCTGGGGAAACCACTGCCTCAGGATATAGGTGAGCTGAGAGTGCAGCGGGCAAGGGCAGGAAGGATGTGGGCCTTTTGCTGTAGTCCGAGAGAGTCTGCTATGCCCGGGCGGAATTCCTGCAGGATAGGTCCCCCCGGCCCCTCAGTGCAGATTGATTGCCTGGTCTCCGCCCCATACTCGGAGCCCCGCTGAGCCCTGGAAGACAGTGTGGTCCCTCTAGGTAGCAGACCGTGTCTTCTCGGTTCTGAGTCCCCTGTCTTTGAGCAAATCCCTACATCACCTGCCGTGCATGTGCGCCTTTTCATGTGGCCTCCCCACGCCACCTCAGTCCCTGCCTCAGAAACCAGCGGTGCTGCCTTCACCATCTGGGGCTGGCCTGACAACCCAAGATCTCTGGGTGCTCCTGGAATAACCCTGGTCTGTGATGTGTGTGTGTGTGTGTGTGTGTGTGTGTGTGTGTGTGTGTGTGTGGTGGGCTGAGTGCGAAGAGTTTCTAAATGAGAGGGGGATTCTTCTATACACGGAGACACCTTCCTCAGTGGTCTGGGCTAGCCCAGAGGCACAGGGATGGCTGGACACCACGGGTGACCACCATGGGTGACCACCAAACCTTGACCACTCCTCCTCCAGGACACAGAAGGAACTTGAGAAAGCCAAAACAAAAATCCAGGAGTATTATGACAGACTCTGCCAGGAGGTGACGAATAGGGAGGAGAGTGACCGGAAACTCCTTGCCGACCTAGACGACCTGAACCGCACCAAGCGATACCTGGAAGAACGACTGATAGAGCTGCTCAGGTGTGTGTCGGGCCCACAGCGGGCCAGGGGCTCCCCGCACTTTGGGTTTTTCTCGGAAGAAACTCAGCTGTTCTAGAAAAAAAACAAAAATGTCTCACAGGAAACGGGCCCCATTGTCTGTGTTCAGTTGTCAGGGCTGCACACACATGTCCAGGGCCTGCTCTGTCCCCAGTGACCTCAGAGCGGGACTCGCTGCTCCCACTGGAGTTCGGCTGACTGTGTGGTTTCATGCAGAATGCTGACGCAGTTATTTTCAAAATCTCTGTGTACTTGAACCGCAAAAGAGATGGCACATCTTAATACCGTCAGGCCTCTCCCCATGACCTGGCGTTTCTTTCTTAACCTCCCTTCCCCTTCTCCACCCCACTTTCCCTGGTGTGAGGGCTCCCAAACTCCAGTGTCTCCAGGGAGCAGACAGCTGTTGTAAATGCAGGGACTGGACCCGCAGGACAGTGGACACGCTCGCGTCCCCACTGCATGCTGCAGCTCCAGACCCCAGCTCAGCGGTCAGGTTGCCTTCCTAAGGGAAAGTGGACACTCAAGATTGTCCACATTGGAGAGTCATTCCAAAAGCTCTTTTCCTTGTGATTATGACAATAATCAAATATACAAAAATAATCTAACGTACTGCACTCTTGTATAGCTGCCCCCCTTCACCCCCAGCTTCTACGTTACTCAGCCCACAACACTCAGTCTGGTTTCATTCTGCTTTCCCCCACCTCTCTAGATTATTTTAGAGCATATTCCAGCCATAGTATCTCCTTACCCTCAAACATTTCAGCATGTGCTTTTCTACAACAGGGACCCTCCATTTTAAACAATTACGGTATCATTCATTGCCCTGCTTTAAGATGAACTAACCCTTAGTATTATCAACTATCTAATTTTAGATTTTTCAGTTGCCATCTATCCCCCCCTCTTCTTTCTCTTGCAATTAACTTTGAAAGAAACCAGGTCATTCATCTGGAAGACCTTCCTTTAGGGTAGATACCACCAGGACTCCCCCATAACCTGGCCTTTCTTCATGGGGATTCCCCACCCCGCCCTCTCTGCCCTGCCCTGTGAAGCCATTAACAGCTTCTCCCAACCTTTATAATTCCTCATTGATAGGTAAAACTAGAATATTTTCTGAACTAGTGGGTTGAGTAGCCTTCAACCTTGGCTACAGAGTAGGATCAGTAATGGAGCTATTAAAATGATGCCCGGTCCACGCCAACCAATCTGAGCCCGGAGTGCAGTCCTGTTGTCAAGGTAGCCAGAGCCCAGAACCCCAGCTCCGTTGGCAGCTGGTTCAGACCCAGATACAGTCACATGGGCAAGGGTGCCATATAGAGTCGGTTCACAGTCTAGACTCTTTCCTTCAAGAACTACAGGAGATCTGATGTGGTTAAAATCTGATTAGCCCCTTCTTTGCTGTGTTAGCAGTCGTAGGTAAACAGTGCCTGTATCTCCTAACTCACCAGGGCTTGAAACATGGTGATACTGAACTACGACTAATTTTGAAGTTTAAAATCTGCAGCCACAGACCATCAGTGTGCCAGATCGGAACTTGACAGTCACAGCTTCCCGAAGACTGTGAGGGGAACACCCAGGCTCTCACCCGTCGTAGGCTGGGCCAGTGCCTGGCTTCCTGGTCGAACAGGCAGAGTGTGGACCTGCTGGGGGAGTGGTCCCGGTCCTGCATGCCACCACTCCGGCCAGTGTTCTGGCCTTTGTAAGAGGGAGAGTCTTGCTGAGTTGGAGACCTTGGCTCTGATGGAGCCCATACCTATTTTTATTTATTTAATTTTAATTTTTTTTTATTGAATCACCATGAGATTCAGTTACAAAGCTTTCATGTTTGAGTTTCAATCATACAATGATCAAACACCCATCCCTCCACCAGTGCACGTTCTCTACCACCAATAGCCCCAATATACCCCTCCTTTCTAGCCCTCTCCCTACCTCCATGGCAGACAATTTTTCCCTATAGTCTCTACTTTTGGAGCCCATACCTCTTGACCTGAGTCTGATGTGAGTCTTTGGGGCTGAGGAGCCACTGGGCCCCATCACCCACAGGATGTTGGTTGGAATAAAGAGCTAAACCCTCCCACACTCTCAGAATGACCACTGTCAGCAGTAAGAAAGGCCTACTTGCATCTTCTCCTGGCATCAGACGTGCTCCTGGAAGCCCCCCACTGCTCGCGGTGGTGTCTGGGGTGTGTGGACTCGATGAGACTTTCAACCTAGGGCATATTTTCTCTTCTCTAGTGATGAGCCAAAAATGGAATATGAGTGTAAAAGCCCCCAGAGCACATGGAAGACACCCGTGGTCCTTGGGCCTTTGTGTAACTGAGTGTGGGTTGTAGCTAAAGTTCCCAGGGGCAGACACTGCCATGGAGACGTGTGAGTGGGGTATGATCCCATCAGGGCTGACCCGGGGCGGGGGGCAGTGGTGGGGTGGCACATGAGACTGACACCAGGCTGTTTAGTCAGAATGAATTTTCCTTCCTTGCCATGGGCGCACGTGGAATCAACCTCTTGTAAGGCGTCGGGGATGACTCTCTCATTTTCATGGATTCTGCTCTTCTCCTGTGGCTTTGTCACAGGGACAAGGATGCTCTTTGGCAGAAGTCAGATGCTTTGGAATTCCAGCAGAAGCTCAGTGCTGAGGAGAAGGGACTCGCAGAAGCAGAGGTGAACCACTGCGCAGACTGCAAGCGGGAGTTCAGCTGGATGGTGCGGCGTCACCACTGCAGGTCAGTGGGCACTGCCCCGAGGCAGAGCCGGTGGCCCAGCCCCAGGAGCCTGGGGGTGGGGGCACGGGCAGCTCAGCTGGCTCTCTGGGAATGGGTCCCAAGAGGACACCCAGGGGACCCTGCAGGGAAGAGAAGGAAAGCGACTGTGCTGGAGCCAGGGGATGCAGCAGAGAGCCAGCGCCCGCCCGCCCCCCCCCCCCCCCCCCCCCACACACACACACGCATGAATGCCTTCACCTGGGGAATAGTTTTCCCTGAATATGATTCAGAGTTATGGGAAGAGGGGGAACCATCAGCATGGGCTGGGAGAGTCAGTGCCTGCCCAGATCCTGGACGCTGAAGCCTGGCATGCACTCCTGCAGGGCTGCATCTGGGACCACTGGCTCGGCCTCACACCTTTGCCCCCTGCCTCCCAGGATCTTGGCAGACGCAATCGTGTCCTGCTTGCCACACCCGTAGGGCGTCATTGGGATCTGAGCAGTGGGCCTGGAAGGAGGCGGGTCTTGTGGCACCCGGAACCCAGTTCCCGGGGCCCAGGCACAGCCCAGGAGCTGCTGCCCAGGGCGCCGTCCTCACCAGCCCGTGCTGCTTTCACCCCCAGGATATGTGGCCGCTGCTTCTGTTATTACTGCTGCAACAACTACGCCCTGACCAAGCCCAACGGCAAGAAGGAACGCTGCTGCCGAGCCTGCTTCCACAAGTTCAGCGGAGCACCCAGCTCCCCCGACAGCAGCAGCTCAGGCATGAGCCAGGGAGATGCCAGCCCTGCGTCATCGCCAGCCGGGTCACGGACCCCTGCCGGAGGAGGCCAAGGTGAGGCTCCTGAGCGGGCCCTGGGTGCTGTTGCCACCCCAGCGGCTCAGGTTAATTTGATGTTTTCCAAACAGGCATTTAAAGAGGTACTAAAACCACTTTGGGACTTTCTTTTTGAGGTGATTAGGATTGAAAGAGAATTGAAAAGGGAATAATTTCACTTGATATGATTCAGAGTTCCTTCACCTAAGGTCTGCACCCTTTTTGTTTCTGGTTTCTGGGCCACACCCGGGCCTGTTCAGCGGCTGCTCCTGAACCAGTGCTTAGGTGGCCCTGTCTTGCCAGGGATCAGGCCTGGGGCTCCTGCCTGCAAAGCGGGCACTCCAGCCCGATGATCTTTGTGCCACCTTGTGGTGTGGACCTCTTCACCCATGTGCCACCGATGCAGCCCACGCTTTGGAAAACTCTGTCTCCCAGAACCGTGGCCCCAATATCCAACCCTCCCAGGTGACCGGTATTCTGTGCTCTCTCTGTTGGTCACATTTTCTGAGTTACCAAGGAGGATATATTCTACTTTAATTGAGTAAAAGGAAGCCGGACGAGTTTCTGCTGCTGCTTCTCTGAGCACAGCCTCTCGGCTGGCCCAGGCTGACCTCTCTAGGATTGGACGTGGATCTAGGGCCCAGGGAGCCAGAACTGGAAGGACTTGGGCAGCAGTCAGCCTCATCTGTGCTCCAGTATCAGTACAGCCTGCAGTTTATATCACTTGCAAGGCCTTTGACATAGTCCAGGCCAGTCAGCCTTCAGAAATGCTCTTTCTCTCTTTAGTTTAACCGAATCACTGGGAAGGTTGGTAGGCCCATTTTTCATATCCAGTACAAATCTCTGCTTGGAGTGTGAGTATATATTCTACTAACCTTATGCCCATTGCATGATTGGCTTTCTCAATTTTGAATTTTGAGACTTTATAGCACAGTGGTAGGGCATTTGCCTTGCATGCGGCCAACCTGGCCGACCCGAGTTCAATTTCTCCGCCCCTCTCGGAGAGCCCGGCAAGCTACCAAGAGTATCTTGCCCACACAGCAGAGCCTGGCAAGTTACCTATCGATATGCCAAACACAGTAACAACAAGTCTTATGATGGAGATGTTACTGGGCCTGCTCGAGCAAATCGATGAACAATGGGAGGACAGTGCTACATATATTCTGGATATAAGGGATTTTTTCCCCCTTTATTTTGTCAGATTTTATAACCTCCCAATCTACAGATTACCTTTGCATTTTCTTTCAAAGAGCAACAAAGTTTATAATTTTTATGGAATCCAGTCTATATCATTTTTTTCTTTTAAGGATCAGTTGTTTTTGATATATATGTATTTTGATATTATAGATATCTGAATTTAACTCAAGTACTCAAAGATCACCTGTTTTCTCCTATAAGTCTTCTGAACATTAAGTTGTATATTTAGATCTGTGATCCATTTCGATGCAACTTTTCTGTAGGCAGAAAGCTGTGATTAGAGGTTCATGTTTTTAAATACAGTGTCCAATTTTTATAGTAACATTAGTTGAAAGCCTTTTTTTTTTTTTTTTGCCTTAGACTTGCCTTTTCACCTGTGTCGAAAATCAGTTGCAGAGGAGCCAAGTGATATCAGTGGCTTGAATGAATGAAATGCTTATCTCCTGTTTTTGATGTAGGAGGCCTGAGTTTGATAGTGATTAAACCCCTGCAGAGCCCCCTGAGCCTCACCAGAACAACCTCCACTCAGAGCCAGGAGTAACTCCAAAGCACCTCCATATTTGTCCCCAAACAAATTAATAGACAAGCAAAAGACAGTTGCAAGGCTGGAGAAATGACTCAAAGGGCTGGAGCACATGTGGCATTTTTGTTTGTGGAAGCCCCGTGTTCAGTGCCCAGCACTGGATGGTCCCCTGAGCCCTACACTGAGGAAAAAAACCTTTATATGAGTGGGTCTGTATCTGGACTATCTATTCTGTTCATTTGTCTGTGTTCTCTCTCTCTCTCTCTCTCTCTCTCTCTCTCTCTCTCTCTCTCTCTCTCTCTCTCTCTCATTTTCCTTTTCCTTTCCTTTCCTTCCTTGGATTACTCCTGGCAGGGCTAGGGGACTAACTGGGCTGATGAGGATTGAGCCTGGTCTCCTGCAAGCAAGGCAAACAACCTCCTTAAGTGTCCTTTCTTTCACCACTACCATACTTGCTATGCTCAGCAGTAGTTTTCTGAGCCTTAAAATCAGATAGAATAGGTTCTCCAATTGTTTTTCAACTGAAGAACTGGCTATGCTGGTTTCTTTGCTTTTGCATGGAGCTTTTAGGATCAGTTTGAGAATTTCTGAAAGAAAAATCCTAGTGAGGGCCAGGCATGCAGCTCAGGAGTAGAGTGGAAGCCTCACGCGTGGAGGTCCTAGGTTTCGGTCCTTGGCTCTGCAAACAAGAACACAGATAGCCCCCGATGAAGTATTGTGTGGAATTGCATTAAATCTCTCGATCAGTTTTGGGAGAGTTGACATCTTAGTATAGTTGGGTCTTCTGACCCATCACCCATGAACTCTCTAACTTATTTAGCTCTTCTTTCAGTAATTTTTGTTTTCCTCTATGGACATACTTTTGAATCCCCACTGCTCATTTCCCCATGCTTCTGCCAGCCTTCCAAGGCATGCTCAGGAGTGTGGCCGGGTCTGTGGAAGGAAACCAGCCCTTGGCCCCGCTTTTCAGCATGTGTCCCCAACCCAGCGGACTGCGGCTGAGAGGAGGAGCTTCCTTCTCAAGCACAGTGTGCCCCAGCAGCCAAGCAGTGGGACCAGCTGGGAACTGTCCTTGCTAATAGCTCAAGAATCGGTCCCTTGCCCTGCCTCACAATGGCGGGCAGTCAGGAACTGCACACGGCACTGCAGTGCCACGGTACAAAGGCTCCGAGGTCACTTGCATTGATTTCCGACATTTCCTTTCTCCTCCCTCCCTCTCACTAGCATCCTTCCCCCACTCCCCCCACTTCCCCCCACTCCCCCTCCCTACACACACACACACACACACACACACACACACACACACACACAGACTTACACACACATACCCATACCCAAGGACTGAGGCCATATTTTCCATGACATGTGCAGAGTGTGTGCTTGTGGTTAGGTGACTGGTATGGGCTGTCCCACAGTGTCCTTCCGACTGAGGGGCCTGTGGAGCCAGACCCAGGGCTCTGGTCAGAAGCATGATATTTGCTGCGGTTCCTCAAGCCCAGGAGCTGCTCTCCCACCTTGATGTGAGCTGAGGGGGTGGGTGGGGAGGTGATTCCTGGAGTCAGACCCCCCGCCTCTCACCCCCACGCCACGTTCAGAGCAGAAGAAGGCAGAGCCCTTGTCCCGTGGAACAAGGATTCAAAGGCATCAGTGTTTCCTTTTCCATCAGGTTTTTGCCTAGTCAGGTTTGGGTAGGGCCTTTTCCCTCTAAATAAGGGAACGTGGAGAATATGGCGGAGGTTGAACATTCTCTACATCCCGACGGAAAGAAGTCTCCCTAGTGCTTAAGGGTTCACTTGTGGTTCCCTCCTATTCCCTCTGGAATGTCCCCAGCACTGTTTTCTCGCAGCAGCGCAAGACAACTGTGAGCTGGGGTGTCCTGTGTTAGATGCCCTCTCCCCCATATCCCAGGGGGCAGGGGAGCCCAGACCTCATCCCCTGCTGGCTCATCACTGTGTGTCTCTCTCTCCCTGCCTGCCTCTGTGTCCCGCATTCAAACCCAGACTGCAAGACCCCAGATGACGCCGTGTTTGACATCATCACAGACGAGGAGCTGTGCCAGATCCAGGAGTCTGGCTCTTCCCTGCCCGAGACGCCCACCGAGACTGACTCTCTTGACCCGAATATGGCTGAACAGTGAGTAGAAACCATGTTTCCCAGCCTGGCGCTCAGCCAGCCCTGGCCCCTATGCCTGGGTTTCTGGGGACTTGTGGAATTTGTGAAGCAACCCTAGGTGTCTTTGCATAATGGAAGGGGCCTCACTCTGGTGCATGGGGCTGGCTCGCCCTTGAAGAGCACCAGGGATAGGGAGTGGTCAGTGGTCAGCGTTATCACAGCCCCCTGATTTTGGCATCTCTCCTAAGATGTCTGTGGGCTGGGGCAAGTGTATTAATTTGCTCAGCACTGTCATCACAAAAGAGCCCAGATTTCTCTCAGTGCCGGAGTGTGGAAAGTCAGAGACCCAATGGCCAGCAGGTGTGGGGTCTCCTGAGGCCCCTCCCGGCTCACAAACGTGCTCTCTCACTCTCCACACTTGTTCCTCCCTCAGTGTTTGCCCACCGTAGTGTCAGACTGGCTTCTTTTTAATGGTCTGACTTCTTTAAAGGTCCGGTCTACAAATAAAGTCCCATTCTTGAAGTGTGGTGGGGGTTGGGGGCTCATGCTAGCAACCATGGGGGCCACAATTCGGCCCTTAAGAAGGCCCTTCTATGTGGTAGCCAGGGCCATCACAGAGCAATTGGTCCCTTTTTAAAAACTGTGTTCAGGGAACAGAGAGATAGTACAGGTGTTAGGTGCTTGCCTTGCATGTAGATCTGGGTGATTTTCCCCTACCCCCCATCCCCAGCGCTGAGCCACCCAGATGCCCTGAACACAGCCAGGTGTACTCCCCCTTAGCCCCAAAATGCACTGTACCACTGTAGCACTGTCCTCCCGTTGTTCATCAATTTGCACGGGCGGGCCCAGTAACATTATGAGACTTGTTACTGTGTTTGGCATATCGAATACGTTTACGGGTAGCTTGCCAGGCTTTGGCATGCGGGCAAGATACTCTCGGTAGCTTGCGGGGCTCTCCGAGAGGGGCGAAGCAATCGACCTCGGGTCGGTCGGGTCGGCTGCGTGCAAGGCAAACACTCTACCCACTGTGCTATTGCTCCAGCCCAGCCCCAAGATGAGTGAATAAAAATAAAAATCACATTTATCTTGTGGAGCCGCTGATCAGAGATGGTAATGGTGCCATGAGAAAGGAAAGCTGGATTTAGATTCCTTTGTTTGGGTAGAAATGCCTTCCCCCCCCCCCCCCCCCAATCCAAACAAGTCCATTCCCCTGTGCCCTGCAGGGACTTTCCCTCAAACCATCTCCACTATCTTGAGATCCTCCCGGGGGCCTGGGCGCTGATAGTGTGGGCTCCAGGGCGACCTTCAGTGTGTATTTTCCATCAGTGTGTATTTTTCAGGTGGAACAATTTTATATCTTGGGTGGTAGGGGCAGAGTTTTGTGAGGGCTCCTTTTTAAAAACATGGAATAACCATGGAAGGTGCCCCCCTACTATGGACATTGGCAGTTGACGTCTCAGAACCCATGGGGTGGGGTCAGCTGTCTCTGCCCGCAGCTTCACTCTGTCTCTCAGCTTCTGGTTCCGACTCCGCGGCTGTTTCCATAGCAGAGAAACTCAGGGGACTGGACGTGACTCCAGAGACGGACACTTCCTCTTCTACTTTCCGTTTGGTTTTCGTGACGCTTGTGCCACCGGCATCACGGTTGGCAGTGCTGCTCTCAGAGGAAGGCCGGAATGGATTCGTAGAGTCGATCCTCCCGTGGTGCCTCCTTTCCCTGAGGCTCTCGCCTCTGTGCATCTCTGCACTCGCCTCTAGTCTCAGGTTCGAGAGCGGCTGAGGGAGGCCTCACGGTTATGCCAGTTCCCTTAGCCAGCTCAAGGCTGTCCCTGTTGCTTCTGCAGCTTTGGACCCTGCCTTTTCCTGACCCTGACCCCCTCTCTGGAGCCTTCTCTCTGTGCCTCACCCTGCAGATTCTCCCAGGCCCCCCGGAGTCCATGGTCCTTCCCCTGGCCATGTTCCGCTCCATTACCTGCCAAGCTACTGCCCAGTCATCCAGCCATCAACTCTTTACTGATCACTGACCATGTGGCAGCAAAGGGCCTTAGCATCCGGCACCCTTGCAGATCCCTGGCCACCACTCTAGGCCCCCTGGCATGTGGGGACCTCTGCCCCCTGCACTCAGTGCCCCTGCCTGCCCAGCAGACACGTGTCTCCCACCAGGGTGGTTGGGAGGATTTGATGAGATGGGTGTGAACAAAGGCCTGCGCCTTGAGCCTCGCACACAGAAGCCTCCTGGCACCGGGCCTTGTCTTCTGGCGATGCTAGGGGCTGACCCATGCAGACATCCTCCTGTGTGCCCTGGAACCCAGCACTCAGCGCCATGCTCTTGTCCAGGGAAAGGTGCCCCAGAACCCAGACGATGCCGAGCTTGACCGACTCAAGAAACTCGCGCCTGACTCACAGGCTGACTTTCTGTCGCCATTTTAGAACTGTTGCCGTGCGGTCAGAGCATTTCCGAGAGCTTTTGGTGGGTTTGTCACCCACCAGGAGGTTTGATGCCTGGTAGCTTGGAAACAAAATGAGAACAGGATATGGCATGGTGGTTAAGGCTAGAAAGCCACCTTGCATTCGGCTTAGTCCAGTGTCTCTACCAGCACCCAGATCGAAACTGGCAGTCACTGAGGCCCTGAAGTGGCTTGGAACACCCTGGGGCAGTGCATGGGGGCAGAGAGAGCTGTCCGCAGGGCCTCTGGCCCCCACTCCCTCCACTCATCTGTTTGAACTGGTTTCCTCACATGAAGGAGGCAAGTGGGGTGTAGTCTCGGGCCCCCTACCCGAGGGCCTTGGCTGTTCCCATGAGCCTTGTAGCTGGACACGTGGGAGGGGGCACAGCCTCTGGAGCTCCTTGGGAGAGGAAATGCGAGTGAACCCTCTGTTCTGGGCTCTACATACTGTGTCTGCTGCCATCACCACCCCTGGGACTCTGTCCACTTCACTTCTGCAGCCCTGTGCCCTCCACCTGGATACACACACAGAATCCCTGGGCTCGGGCTACTGGGGAGCCTCTGGAACCAGAGTCACTCCATGTTCCCACACTGAAGACCATGGAGCACCCCCCACCCCATGGCCATCACTAACGCACCCAGACCACAAGTGCTGGGGAATGGGGGAGTGTGAGTCCTGCCCCCTCCCCAGGGCTGACATCAGGTGATGGGGTGAGCAGAGACCCCGGACAGAGGAAGCGCAGGTTTGAGGGGGAAACTGGCCCTTCACAGGGGCCTAGATGAAAGAGTCCCTTGGACCTCGCGAGGTGCGCTGCCCATGTTTGCTGCAGTGACGGTATTTGCCCCAGAGAGGCCTGGCCGGCTGGTCTCTCTACCCCACTATGATGGAAAGGGCCCAGAGTGTGTGGGGCCAAGGCAGGGGGAGCACAGCTGCTATGCTGGGCGTAGGCGACTGGCAGGGCAGGTTTGGGGTGGACACGGCTCAGTGTATGCTTGCTCTCCACTGACTAGCACAACCAGACAGGCACCTGGTTGGCGATAACCCAGGGGAGTCCCTTGCAGCTGCCCAGTAATCACTGCAGAGCACTGCCTTGCTCCCAGGCTCTCCTCACACGAGGGCCCTGACGAGTCAATAGTGTGGATGGAGAAATGGGCCAGGGGGGCCCAAGTGGCTGGTTCATGGATGCGCAGAGCTGGGACCATCACAGAGTTCGGGGCCCCGACACCCCAGCAGCCGCCCTCCCTCATGGGGCCACGTGGGGAGGTTACCACAGCAGGCGGGCTCCCTGCTCCTCGCTCCTTCCCAGTCTCTTGGGGTGGGACAGTTGGGGAGGCCGGGGAGCCGCCTCCCACCTGACCGTGCCCAGTATCAAGCTGGGCGCTCAAGGGGAGATGCAGGAAACATCCTTTCTGACACCGAGGTCAGCGTCAGACCCTGAAAAGAGGGTAGATCTGGTGTTTGACACCCTGAAGGTCTGTGTGGCTCGGTCACAGCAGTGCTGTTCTCTCAAGGATGTGTCTGACACATGTAGGAAATGTGGGTAGGAGCCACGGGCCTGCTGTCCTGTCCTGGGAAGGACCAGCATGCACGTGGCATGCGCACATCTCCTAGAGGCATGGAGGCAAGTGTCCCTGAGCTTTGCCAGCTCCCAGGGGATGGTGGAAGGTTCCACGTTGCTTTGCTAATTCTTCCCAGAGACAGGGAATGACTACTGACTTATTGGAACCCTTCTCGCATGAACCGCAAACCCAGCTAGTCTTAGCTCAAGTCCTCTGCAAGGCGGGTGTTGTTTGGTTCCTGTTTCTCCAACCAGGAAGAGGGAGGAACAGAGCTGGGATTTTTCCTGGTTTCTCCAGACCTCACAGCCACCCTGTGGTGCCAGTTCTGGGCAACTTACCTGCGCACTATCCACCTGTTGGTTCTCTAACATCCAGTGAATGGTTTTGAGCTGTGTGAGCCAAAAAGTCAAATTGCCTTTTTTTAAAATTAATTTCTTTATTATTTATTTATTATTGAAACAAAAAGGCAACTTTAAAGCCTGCTGAGTGATTACAGGGATCAAATAACTGTGCACAAGCATCTGACATTTGAAAAAACAGCCTCATTCTGTGACCGCAAGGCAGAGGTTAAACAAATACCCCTCACATTTTGGGCAGGAGGCTGAAAACCACAGTTAAGTGTTATCATCACGGGTACATTCCATTTCCTTGACAGAGCAGTGGCCTGAAAATTTGAATTTCAACCTATTTCTCATGTTCTGAGCCTACATTTAATTATCTCTGGTAGATTTCAGACATGCCACATTAAATCAGAATGTACCTAATGATAAAAGAACCTTGAAGGATAAAGTAGATTATCTAAAAGTTTTCTTTCCTAGTCACAAAAATTATATGAGTGGGTTTTTATTGTTTTTATTCTATGTATTAATAGTGTGTTTGGGAGGGAGGTGGTGTGAGGTGTTGGATAATTCTGTTTTTAAGTGAGCAAATCCATGTCCGAAATGCTTCTTTATAGTCATGTAGTCTAAAATTGGTTTCTAGCTTCCTGTGGACCGTTCGACTTCTCAGCTGATT